TTCTTCTTCTTCTTCTTCTTCTTCTTCTTCTTCTTCTTCTTCTTCTTCTTCTTCTTCTTCTTCTTCTTCTTCTTCTTCTTCTTCTTCTTCTTCTTCTTCTTCTTCTTCTTCTTCTTCTTCTTCTTTCTTTTCATCTCACTTCCACCCTTCGGATTTGGTCCAGCCACACTCCATTTTTATCTCTTCTTATTTATTTTCCTCTTTTCGATTCGATCGCTCATATCTCTATCAGATCTGAGAAATCCGATTCAGATCTGTATGGAGATCGGCGGCGAGGAAGGATCTTCTCTGGCCGGAAATTTGATCGGTTGCCGGAAATTTGTTCTGGCCAGTTGGGTTGGGGGCAGTCATTTGGGCAGGATAGGAATGGGTCCCCGGGGAAGTGGGGTAGGGTGGAGGGTATTTTGGGAAAGTCAAGAAAATTTTTACATTTTCTTAAAGTGCGTGCCCGGTCAAACCGGGAACTTTAATAGTGGACGGAGGGAGTATAAGACACTTGGCCTGAAATATATATCACTCCAGGAGTAAAAGAATAAATCTAATTAATTCTTTAATTCAACTCAAGAGTTTATATACTGATTACTTTTCCCTTCAATTTTCGTTATGGGATAGTTTAACACTCTTATCTCCTCAAGTGGACAACTGAGTTATTTTGAATTTAGTTGGTTGACCGGTTGCAAATGGACTTACCCTCCCCACAGAATGAAAGGATTTGAAAGTTCCAAAACCTAAAATACCATGAACTACTGGGCATGGACTACACGAATAATCGAGTTATATCGGCATATATAGAAACTACAGGGGGCACCCGCCCCTAGTCAATATATTTTTTTAAAAAATATACATTGTAAAAATTTTGAAAAACTGGTAAACTAAACTGTTAGAGTGCATCCCACATCAGAAATTCAAGAGTAAAAATAATCGGTATATAAGCTCTTGAGTTGAACTAACTAATTGATTGGATTCAATCTTTGGCGCAAGAATTTACAGCTAGCTTTGGAACGGAACCATACTTGGGAAATCACATATCTATCTTCCTTATAATCGACGGGCACTAGGGTGTCAATGGGTCTATCGTACAAAGTACAAGTCTGATGGTACAAAGGAGCGGGATAAAGCGTGTTTGGTGGTCTTGGGAAATCATCAGGAGTTAGGTATTGATTTTACTAATACTTTTGCTCCCGTGGCAAAGTTAGCCACTGTTGGGGTACTATTATCTGTTGTTGTTGCTCGAGGTTGGCAAGTTGATCAGTTAGATGTTAACAATGCACTTTTACATGGAGATCTTATGGATGAAATTTACATGAAGCTCCCACCCGGTTACTTTCACTTGTTTCCTGGTAAAGTTTGCAGGTTACGTAAGTCTTTGTACGGGTTGCGTCAATCTCCCTGTAATTGGTTTGCTAAACTTCGGTTAGCACTTCGACGCTATGGGTTCCGCCACGCCCATTCCGATCACACCCTCTTTGTCCTTAGTCATGGATCTGATATGCTTGTTGTTCTGGTTTATGTGGACGATATTCTTGTCGGTGGAAATAATCCCTCGTTGTGTTCTTCTTTCAATCGATATTTGGATGAGTGTTTTCGTCTCAAGGATCTTGGTCCCATCTCTTATTTTTAGGGAATCGAGTGTGCTCGATCCTCGACTAGTATGGTTCTTAATCAGCGAAAGTACACTTTGGATATTCTTCAGGAACATAATTTATCTGGATGCAGACCTGCGGACACCCCGCTGCCGACTACTCACCATCTCGCCAGGTCCACAAGTGCTGAGCTTAGGGATCCTGCTAAATACCGTCGTCTTGTTGGGCGTATTTTGTACTTGACTATTACTTGACCCGACATTTGTTATGTTGTTCATACTTTATCTCAATTTATGCAGGCTCCATGGTTGGATCATTGGAACGCTGCTCTCCGTGTTCCCCGATATCTTAAGGGGCACCCCAGTCAAGGTATTTTAGTCTGTTGTGATAATGATCGGACCTTAACGGCATTTTCTGATTCTGACTGGGCGAGTTTTCCTATCACACGACGCTCCATCATAGGTCACTTTGTTCTTCTTGGTGGCTCTCCTATTTCTTGGCGCACTAAAAAGCAAACTACGGTCTCCCGATCCTCCGCGGAGGCTGAGTATCACGCCATGGCCAATGCATGTTTAGAAATCCGGTGGCTCCGCGGACTCCTTGCCGCACTCAGTGTCCCATGTGTCGCGACTCCGCACCTATATTGTGACAACAAATCAGCACTTTTTATAGCAGCTAATCCGGTCTTCCATGAGCACTCCAAGCATATTGATATTGATTGTCATATTGTACGTGAATGTCTCCAGCGTGCTCATATTATCACTGCTTATGTCCCTACGAGGTTGCAGATCGCTGACATTTTCACGAAGGCTCTCCCTGGTCCTCTTTTTCATTCTCTTTTGTCCAAGTTGGGCATTTTTGATCTCCATGCTCCAACTTGAGGGGAGTGTTAGCGTATATTGTGTATATTATATGTATTATTTGTAAGTTTGGCATTTTACGTTGGGCCACGTCTATTGGGCTTGTACCTTGTATATATATTACCAATTGTATCAATGAAAGGCATCCAATTCATTTCACAAAATTCTACATAAACGCTTGGCCTCAGTAAAAAAAATTGTAGCCCCGATAAAAAAATCATTCGAAAAACAAAAATTAAATTATTTAAATGGAGTGTAATGTTAAAGTATTTGTACAAACAACAACAACCCAGTTGAATCCCACGAAGATTAAGGTTCGGAGAGGGTGTATTTACATTTTACACAGACCTTGCTCTACTGGATAGTAGAGAGGTTTTGTATTGTCATGTACTCACTCCGTCCCAAAAAGAATGGGACGGTTTGACTTTTTGGAAAATTAAGGGAGGGATATTTTGGTATTGACTTTCCAAAAATACCCTTGATGTGATGGGTAAAAGTAGGATGTGATGGGTAGATTATTAGAAAAAAGGTATGATGTGATAGGTAGGGTATGAAAAAGTAAGGGGTAAAAGTAGTTTTTTTAATAGAAATGTAACAAACTTTACGGAACGCAGTTTTTTTCTAAACGTAACAAACTTTTTGGGACGGAGGGAGTAGTTTGTTAATTATTTGGGTTTACTTATTTTAAGTTTGTTTAATTTGATATAAAATTTATTCTTTTTTCATTATAATTTTAAAGTACTTTTAAAAAAATTCAGGGGTGCAACCCTGAGTCTCTGTCTTACTATTGATCCCAGTCATTTCAATTCCTGGATCTGTCATTGTATATGGGTTACATGTCGTTTTCCCTTTTTATAACTAGGCAAAAGACTAGTGGACCGCTAAAAAGTAACTTCTAGACTGGTTAGATGAGCTGAAATTGGCTTTGATAACATGGTAAAATTTAGGATGGTGTGGAGATCTCTGGACTGAGTCATAAGATATCTCGGCTAAACCACATTAAATGGTATGGATATCTCTAGATTGAGTCATAAGATATCTCGGTTAAACCACATTAAAAGATTAAATCAAATTAAAAGCTTAATTAAACTCAAAAAATTATATATCAGTTACTTTTCTCTTTAATTTTTGATGTAAGACACTAACAATTATAAGTCAAATATTGATTGTGGCGGATTAATTAGATTTATCTCGTAAAATACTTTAATTTCAGCCTTGTATTTTTAAAAAAAATTGATAAACAAAAAGTCAAGAACATTAGATTCTGGATGATTCTGTTAAAATATACGGAGTACAAGAACTTTTCCTCAGCTGACAAGTACCAGTTTGAACTTGTAGTTTCTTTGATTTTTTGACAGGGAACCAAAGTTTTATTAATTAAGAAGTCACGAATTGAAATTCTATTATTACCTAATTATACAAAAATTAAATCAATGTTTTACGTGCAAAGTTCTAAACAATTATGCTTAACTTTTTGTTTGAGTTGATTTCATGAGTTTCAAACAATTACACTTGACGTACTTTTTGTTTCAATTGGTTAAAGGACAGATTACATGGCGTCGTCTAAGCCTATTGCTATGAAAGAGCCTAGTCACACACTTATCTTTGCCAATTTCCGGATGGGAAACTAATTGGATGTTTAATTCAAAAATCAATCGGATAAAACTCAAATTTGTGACAAGAACCAGTATAAATTGATATGAATTTTTGAACTGGCTTTACGACCATTGATTCGCCGGATTCTTATAGATGCGGAAGGAAGGATTTGAGATGCGGTCACATCTTTTCTAAATTCGCGTCTAGTCGCGCGAAATGGTAGAAAAACACACGTAAATTTCCAAAAAATTCTTGAAGGATAGAATTGGAAATTCAAAAGTCAAATGAATTTTTTACACGCAATCTCGACTCTAGCCAGGGGCTCTGCCCCTTGGATCGCGCAGGGGCTGTTGCCCCTTGAACCCTGCTCGGGCGCGCTGCCCCCTAATCCTTGCCAAGGGGGGCGCTGCACCCTTGGATCTCCCGTTAAAACATGGCTTTTATCATAAAAAGCTCAATGAAGTGTTTGCCCTCGAACCCCGCCAAGGGGGCACTCCGCACCACCAAACTTCTTTGGTAATTACACTAAAATATACGGAGTGTATAACACTTCTTGTTTTTCTAATTACACTAAAATGTATAACACTTCTTGTTGTCTTGTTTTCCTTTTTATTCGTTTAAAATTAAGTTTTACGAGTATTTTTTTATTAAAAAATAGATGGTTTATAACATTTTTTTCTAAACTAGCTACTTTCTCGGTCTCAACTCTTTTCGCAATCAATGAGGATAACATTTGACTTAAAATTAATGGTTAAAATTTGTCATCAGTCATCAGTCAAAATTTGTCAAGATAATATATACCTCAAAAAAATAAACTTCACTTTTTTCATTTTTAATAATGTGTTAAATTTCGTGAGATCAAAGTGAGACAATATTTAGGTCGGCCTCTACCACTGTAGTAGTCTATATATATAAGCACCCATATATCCAAAGCATGGGTAACTAGATAGCTTAGCTTCCTCATCCATCATCTTTTCATTTCCATACCATATCTCATCTTAATTTACACTTTCTTATCTTTACCGCATGTAGCAGGTTTGCGTACATAAATTTCTTTTCTTCTTTTTATCAAATCCATTTGTTTTTTAAGTTAATCTGTTGTAAATCTGTCAGGATGGCATCATCATCATCATCATCATCATCATCATCATCATCATCATCATCATCATCATCATCATCATCATCATCATCTGGCACTTCATGCATTTGGACTCCCCGCCAAAACAAGGTGTTTGAGAGGGCTCTGGCTCAGTACGACAAGGACACGCCTGAGCGGTGGCAAAATGTGGCAATGGCCGTCGGTGGCGGCAAGTCCGCCGCGGAGGTGAAGAGGCACTATGATATCCTACTCCAGGATCTCCGCCGCATCGAATCCGGTCATTTTCCCTTTCCGGCTTACACCGGCCACTTGCACCTGCACTATCAATTATAACTGTTGGCAGTAATAATGCAGAGTAATAATATTAATTATGACAAGGTTTGCTTTTATTCAGCTTCCATTGTTGGGTAGATTCCTATTTTTGGTAGGAATAATTCCTATGTCTATGTATGTATGTGTGTATCTATGTATGTATGTATACACACACTCTCTCTTCTATATTTTCCTTTATTAATCTTAAATAAACATATTATCTACTCACTCCGCTTCTAAAAAGAGCTTCTATTTTGACTAATAGGTGAAATAAGAAGTGTCTATTTGTATTTGACTTTTTAATTTTGCCTTTGATTATGGTTAAAGTAAGATGTGACGGATAGATTATTAGTGAAAAAGTATAATGTAATAGATAAGGTAAGAAAAAATAAGGGTAAAATTGGGTTTTTAATAGAAAGTGGAATTCTTTTGGGTAAAGATAAAAAAGATTAAAGAGGAAGTGTTTTGAAAAAATAAAAGGACTATGATTCAAATATGGTATCAAAATCTCTAGTGTAGATCCTCTTCTTGTTTTTAGTTCACTTTTTCTCTCTCAAATCATTCGTTCTTAATCAATCTTCCTTTTTCTTCTTTTTGTAAAACCAATAAAAAACAAAGCAAATCACAACAAAAGTAAAACCAAGAGGGAAAATAGAGGAAGAAGAATGAATACCTCAACAATCCACCGTTCCAAGAAAATCAACCAATTCTTTTTAGTATACTTTTTTCTCTCTCGAATTATTCATTCTTAATCAATCTTCCTTATTCTCTTCTCTAAAACCAATAAAAAAATCTAAAGCGAATCACAATAAAAGTAAAGCTTAGGGGCGAAATAGACGAAGAAGAATGAATACCTCAACAACCCATCCTTCTAAAAAATCATAAAAGATTTTCATAATTGAGAAAAGAAATAGGGCATAATAGAGTTTAGGATAAATTGTTAATCTTTAGTAATTGAGAGAATACTTATATAGAGAGTGTACAACAAAGAGCTCCTAAATACATGGAGGAGGATACTAGCCGATTGGGGTGTCGTCAGAAACCCCAAGCTTGGAACGAATTCGAAGAAACAATGCAGTTGGCAAGGGTTTCGTCAAAGCATCTGCAATCTGATCACCAAAGCATTATGTTGAACCCGGAGGTGCCTATGAAGTGATTAGCTCACACACAAAGATATAGTCCAAGGCTAAGTGCTTCATACGAGAATGAAAGACTAGATTTGCAGACGTATGTAGCACCAAGGTTATCACATAACAAAACGGGTGGTGCCGAAATAGGAAAACCAAGTTCAGCTAGGAGATTCCGAACCCAAAGTATTTCAGCGGTGGCGTGAGCAAGAGCACGATACTCAGCTTTAGTTGAGGACCTCAAAATGGACTCTTGACAAACAGGCTTCCAGGAAACAACATTAGAACGCAAATAAAGAACTTAAACAGTAGTTGAACGCCCCCCATCATGCACCCCACCCCAATCAGAGTCCGAGAAAATGGTGAGAATGGAGGGAGCATCATTTTGAAGATAGAGCCCATGAAAGATTGTGCCACATAGATAACGCAAGATACGCTTAAAATTAACAGCTTTCCAGTGAGTAAGAGTAGGAGCATGCATGTACTGCAAAAGTTTGTTGACGACAAATGCTAAATCAAGGTGAGTGATAGCTAGATACTGAAGCGAGCCAAGTAATGGGCAATAAGAAGTCTGATCAGCCGAAGGAGAGCCATCAGCAAGCAATAACAGTTCTTAGATCCCAGTGTACACGTTTTTACCCAAACAGCCATTAGACCTAGCAGGTACCACATGGCTCTAACTTACTATACTTATGGCATACCTTTTCACTAATCCATTCAGGTTATTTCTTAGAGTTCTTTTAGTTGATATATCCAACATTCATTAAATAATGGATGATATAACATTCATAAATCCACAATGCATTTAACAAGATATTTAACATAATCAAATAGCGGCCTACCACTGGACATAAACACCCACGTTTACCGTCATGCAACACACAGATTCTCGGAATCAATCCTTGACGAAAACACAGATCGGCAGACCCGTTATCAGGTACCAGACGGTACCTGTCACAGTACGGGATACCGTCCTCATGGTACCTGGGTACCGGTCCTACCAACCAGGCGACCACCGGCGACTTCCTGTGCTTATAAGTTTTTCATTGATTCAATTCCCATGATACTCCAAAGGTTTCTTTACTCATTAGTACTTGAAATAGTTAAGAAAAAATAATATTGATTTGTAGATATATGAAAACATTAACGAAAATTAATATTAATTTGTAGTTATATATTAAGCTCTAGATATATCAAAGGTTTTTATATCATTTACTTATTGACTCCAAGAAATAAATGTAAATTAATTATTGCAATTTTTTTAGCTTGCAAAGAAAGATTTTAAAAAGCATCCTCCTCGTATAATCATTTCCTTATTTTGGCTGTAACAAATAAATTTAAATTAATAATAGCATATGTTATTTTAGTTCAGCCAAAAGTTTTATAACGGAGCTTGGAATCAAAACGAATTAATAAGAGAAATATATAGAGGTCAATTTCTTGAATTTTTTTTATTTTTTATTTTTTAAATTTGTTAATAAAATCGGGGTAAGGACAATTTTTTTTAACTCCGCATACATTGGATGCTATGTTTTTTGTGAACTGTGTATATTCTTAGTAAAAAAAAATCTTATATTAATGTTTACAAACAGTAAGTTTGTAAAATTTGTGATAATTTTACTCATGAAGAAATTTCTCATCTTTTCAATAAGAATTTTGAAAAATGTTGTTTGATTAATTGATATTTTTTGTAAAAATACAATTCTTTTTGTGCACAGTACCCCATCGGAAAAGTGTGAGAAAAATATTCGGTATATAAGCTCTTGAGTTGAACTAACTAATCGATTGGATTCAATCTTTTAATTTGGTTCAATTGCCCAATTCTGTGATCACTATCCAATCCTAAAATTCTATCGCCAACCAACCAAAAGAATCTAGGGGAAGCCACAGTATGAATATTTGCAAACAAGAAAATGAAATGAGAATCAAGGATAGATACATTCATTCATCTTAATGATCTTTCAGAAGAGAATGGCGAGAACGAAGATCAAGAGGATAGTGAGAAGAATAAACCCAATCCAGCAGAGCAGAGTCTTCTTCTTCTTCTTCATCTTCTTCGCCCGATCCAATTCCTTCGACCCGTCTTTCACATACGACCCGGCATTCACCACATTCTGCTCTATGTTGTTCATCTGCTCCCCTTGAGCCTCCACCATCATCGCCATGTCCAGGAACACCTGGTGGAGCTCCGCCAGGCTTTTCTGAATCTCCTTCACCGCCTCGTTCCGCTCTTGGTTCTCCTTCGCTATTTCCGACGCGGCAGCAACCGTCACTCCGCCGGCCATCAGCTTCTCCACCGTCTCCTCGCTCGGCTCCCGCCCTGTGGCGGCGCAGTAACTCCCCTTCAGGCCTTCTTTGTGCTCCGTCACGATCTCCCCTCTCAGGGACTGGAAATCGTTCATCAGGTCCCGCAGTTTCTGCCTCAGGCCGTTGGTGACGGAGATTCTCGTCCGTGCGATTGGGGTTTGATCGGATCTGGAGGGGTTGGATCTGTCTAGGGTTTCGAGCTTCGTCTTGATGATCTTCGCCTTCCTGAGGACGGCGACCATGTCGGAGTTGATCCGGTCTCTGAGGCCGTGCAGAATCTTGGCGCTCTGCGAGGACTTGCTCTGCTCGTTGAGATCTTGAAGATCGAGGAGGAGATTGGAGATCTCATCCATGGCGGACTTGATGGACCCCACCTCTTCGAAGAACAGGGACAGCTTCGTTTCGTCGGCCGGGTCGAGTTGACCCATCTCCACATCCGGATTCGGCCCGGATTCGAGATCCTTCATCGCCTGCTTCTTCAAATCGACGTAACTCATGAACGACTTCGTCATCAGATCGTTCATCTTCGCTCCGATTCTGCAAGAACCCCAACAGCAAAAAAGAAAATCAATATTCTGCAAAATGGTTGTTGATTTCACTAATTTGACGAAGAAATTAGAGAGGAGATAAAGATAACCACCTGGAAGGAAGTGAATTTCTTGAAAGATCTGATGAAGCGTGCAGAGAGAGAGAGAGATGGATGGAGAAGAGTGCAGTGACTGTGTGCTTCTGTGAGAGTTATCTTTCAAAATTCAAATTGGAAGAATGTCGTTACAAAAAATAGCCGTTTTTAGTGACTGTGTGCATTTTGGGTTCAGAGTTTAGACCCATTCGTTTGTTTTACAATCTTCCAATTTGTCGATTCCATTCGTTTGTTTTACAATCCGATCAATATGGATCATATCACGCCGGTCCCGTTTTCGGGATCCATTGTTCTACCAATTCACCCGCTGGATTGTTAAAATTGTACTCCATACTACTCAATGTAAATGTATCTTTATTATTACTTAATCTTTAACCTTTTTTTACCCATTTTCAATAATTCTTTGATAAAATAATATATTTATGTCACATTTAGCTTTATTAAAATTTGACATACTCCTCCGTCTCAAAATGTTTTACACTTTACTCAAAATGAAACAAAATTCCAAGTTTTTTAAAATTTATTTTACTTAAAGATTAATATAGAATTCAAAAATAAAATTTATATATTTAACCAAAACACACAAATAGTATGTGCTATCGTAAATGGATGTGATAACAAGTTTATTACCACCTCTCAAGTGTGTTGCCCTAAAACCACACAAGTCAGTGTGAATAAGATTTAGTGGTCGTGTGATTCGTTATATCATTTTTTTAAAATCAATCTTCTAGTTGACTTTGCTTCGATTCTCAGTTTAGTCCACTTTAGACTTTAGTATGTATTCCTTGTTTATAAATTTCTACAAAGAATTATTGTTATTATGTCCTAGCTAGCTTACCATGGCACAAACTAAAAGACTCACACAAATAAACAACAATAGTTTTATTGCTATGTTTACCAAGAGTCATTATATTGACCTTAAAGAGCCCATTAGACTTATTCTTCTCCTATGAAGACACCATTTTTGCTCTAAATAACATTGTTAGATGCAAAACTGTATTTGTTGAGAGTGCTTTACAACAAGTTCTTGTGAATTTCCAGCATGTACAATACACCGTTGAATGTAAGCTCCTTGGTAAATAACATCTTGAGTTTCACTTTGCCTACGCTTCAACAACAAATTGGAGGGTGTTGTCATACAAAAATACTAGAAATTTACCACGGTTGACACCACGAATGATAATTGTCTATAAATTTCTACACATAAAGATGATAATCATTTGTGAGTTCACAAAGAATTATTGCCTTTGAGTGTTAAAAACCCACAAACAGTTATCATCCACGGTATCAATTGTAGTGAGTTTCTAGCATTCCAAACATTGTCACTATTATTATTTTAAATGGATGGTGATGTAGCAATATTATTCCTATAAAATACTCCCTCGTCGATAAAATTTCTTTTCATTTTTCATGACTTTAACCATTAATATCTTTTATAAAATTCATTGATAAAATCTCTTTCTTATAAAATTTCATTTGTTTGGTAACTTGATAAAATAAAATATTCTTGTCATCTCTTGTTTTGTTAAACTTTTGATGTATTTTTTTTAGAAATGTAAGTTTTATTTTTATAATAATTTGTAAATAAAAATCATTTTAAAATTTGTAAAATTTTACACATCGTTCAAATAGGAAATATCATTTTGGAATGGAGGTACTACTTTGAAATCAGCCCATACTTATCCGGGGAAATGAAAATGCTTTCGTCCAGAACAATCTACCAAGTGATTAATAAAAAGAACCAAGTAATGCGTGACGCACAAAGTTCAACTAAAACCAAGAAACTCCAACCCACCTCCTGAAGTCCTCTGTCTACCCATGTGGAGACAAATATTTATAGAATTGAAAAACTTACTCAGATGCCTCGTGCCATTCTCTAACTGCTCCAATTCAATTCATCGCTGAAGAACTTCCAACAAACAACTCCTCATTCTTCAACAGAAATCTATGCTGTATACATTGATAAAACTTTTAACCATATGATATCTCATAAAAATGAAACGTACTAATGATCATCTGTATTCGGTTTACATAGTTCTTTGAATATTAAGGTCAAAGTTTATAAATTTTAAACAAGAAATATGAAATTGAAGAAATTGTCAGACTGAAGGAGTGATAAATGTCTAATGGAACTTTTGTAGCTTAAGCTCTACAAAAGTCTTCAAACAGCAGCAAAGAGCCCATCACCTAGCATCAAATTAATCAAACTTTGTTCTTTCCAGCAAAAACCAAAAAAAGGCCTAAAATTGGGCAAGAGTTGTCAAGACTACTTTGCCTTACGTTTCTTGCCACCCTTTGCCTTCATAGGACGTCCTTTTGGTTTAAGCTTTCCCTTCCCTTTACCTTTGGCACCCTTCTTCGCCGTCCCATTATTTCTTGAATCCTTTTTCATTCGTCTATCAACAAGCACTTTACCTTTGCCGGGCCTAACTTGAACCCCTTTCTTTGCCACCACATATTCCCTTTCGGGTCTTTTGGGATCAGCCTTCTTGTAGAGTTGGTCAATCATCTTCCTCTTTGAACGGTCTGGAATATCTGCCGTGTCTGATATAGAGTTGGCTTTCTTGCGTATCTTCTCTAGTTTTCTATGGGCAGCCCTCTTCTTTCGGGCTTTCGCCTCTGCTACCTTCTTAGCAGGCCGGGCGTCAATTTCTCTGAATTGGGCCTTCATCGCAGCAACTTCCTCCTTAGTGATGGGCTTAATAGGCTGGTGATGCTTCTGTTCGTCATCGGCAAACCACTTGGGCAGACCTTTATCGTGGAACATGTATTTATTGTAGGCATCATCAAGCATGTGTTCCCTCTGCTTTTTAACAAGCATCTTCTTGGCATAGGCTAGAATTTCAGCCTTAGTGTCAGGGTCGCCTTCGTCCGAATCGTCTGAGGAAGATGAGTCACTTGAATCTGTGTGTGGGGCCGGGACTATCTCAAAGTCTTCGGTGACTATATTGGACGTGGCAACTGGCTGAACCACACTTTTGGCCTGTTTCAGAGATGATGCAACTTTTTCCTTATGGGATGTCTTTTTGGCAGTTTTTGCAGCTTCGTCTATTGTCATTTCATCTTCACTGTCATACTTGTCCACAATATCCTGCTCATCCGGTTCAGTAAAAATATCTTGGTTGAACCACTGTGCCGCAATCTCCTCTTGAGTTGGTTCGTCTTTGAGTGGGACCACTAGTGGGTTTGGTTCATCATTTCCATCATCATTCGCTGTTTCTTGATCAGAATTAACTATTGGTTCTTCATTGTCCTCCTAAGAAAGAGCGAAGAAACAGGTTAAGTGTGGTAAATACAATTATATCTTTTCATAATTTAATTTATAGTTAATACTCAATTTAGTTCATCACTTGTACTCACTGCGTCCCAAAGAGTTGGTCGTCTTTGACTTTCCACGGGGAACACTTTTTTTTTCCACGGGGAACACTTGAATGTTATTACATAACATAACCATTTAAAAAAAAATTGATGAATTATTTTCCCATAATACCAATCAATGAATTTTTTATTAAAAAATGATCAAAGTTTGTAACACTTGCCCATAAGAAATCAAAGTGGACAAGCTCATTGCAACGGATATTCGGAGAGGGTACAGCTTTACTCATTGACTGTGAACACAATTTACTTGCTGATTATGCAACTAAGATTCCATTTAGTCCTTGAAGGTGCTAATAATTAAGAAGGCTATTTTTATACAGTAACGACTAATATGGGTCTAAATTTACTAGACAGGCAATTTTTTTGTTCTTTTTTAGATCCAAATATATCTGAAGAATAAATGCTGTCCAAGATTCGCAGTCATGGACCAAATAAAGTTTAGGACCAAAATGAGAGACTTGAACCTATATTATAGAGGGAACATGTTTCAGTTACTCCCTATGTCCCGCAAAAAAGTGTCCACATTGGAACTGGGACATTTATAAAAAAGGGTAAATTTGTGCAGTTATAATTTATGAGGAAAGAGAGGAATCATATGGGTCACACAATTCTTTCTTAAAAGGGAGGTGGAGCCCTTTCTTTGAAATGTGGCATTCTTTGCAGGAAAGGAGTATTATTTTACGGGGAGAATTAGACCTCACTCAAAGTACCTCTAAGAGTTCTTCCTCGTGAGATTTTTTGGATCGCTTTCTTTGTTTAGTTTTCCCTTCCACTTTAGAAATATATGTCTCATAGGCCTTATCAAGCATCTCTTCCACCTGTTCATCATATCTACAAATAGAGAAAATTATTATTCAATAATGTACTAATGGTAGAGCATAGAAACAGAGCAATCATTATGCTTTTATCTTTAGCAGAAGTACCGCTTGCGCTCTTCTTCTGAGTCTAAATCACTGGGTGTACCATCTTGCGCTTCGGTATCGCTTTTGCTATCTTCACTAAATCCTTCATCAAATTCCTGATACTCTTCATCATCAACGGCTACTAAATTTTTCTTGCCCTGAATATGATACACACATCAAATTATACTGGGTATATATAGGTATGGAAAATATAAAGGGATTCAAGCCTTACTCTAATTTCAAATTTACATTAGATATGCATAATGAACAAGAGTCTCACCAATAGGTTCTCATATATTTAGTGCATACATAATGTAAAAACAAGATCTCACTAGTTGGCAAAAGATTACAGTTTTCCCTCAACAACAATCGGGTGGAATCTCACAAGTGAGATCCGGAGATGGGTGGGTACACGCAGACCTTAAACCTACCTATAAGAGCACTGGTAATGGTCATGAAGCCCCGGGGCTTCAAACCGGGGCTTCAAACTTTCTCTCTCTGCCACGTCAGCTTTAACTTACACCCAAAATTCACTGGAAATGGTTTTGAAGCCCCGGGGCTTCAAATTGGGGCTTCAAACCTTCATTTTTTACATTTTTAAATATACATCTTCTAAATTTAAATTAATAAATTCTTCTTGGCCATCTTCCCACCATTGAATACAATTCGTCGCGAAACAACGAAAAAATAAAGCTCTTCTTTCATCGTCGGAAGATGAACCCATTTTTAAATTATACTGGAGTATTTTATAAATATTTATAATAAATAATAAATATTTTTGAGAGAATATATAGTAATAAAGAGAGATTTGTGAGAGAGAAGTGTGAGAAAGATGTATGAGAAGGGGGGATTTNGGAGCCGGCTAAAAAACGCAGCCACGCCGCGTCAAACGTATGACGCTGGGCGACTCACGCCGCTTTAACGCCGGAGGGGGGCGGTGTTTCACGCCCCCGGGGCGTTAAACACCCGTTCAGGCCGGCGGGTGTGAGGACCATTACCAGTGCTCTAAAAGTAGATAAGTTGTTTCTCGAAGACCCCCGGCTCAAGAAAACAAACAAAAGATAAGGAAAATGATTCAGAAAGAGACCTTGATAGAAGATAGAGAAAACAAGTCCAGATCAAAATATCCATCCAGTGTTGCATCCGCTTGCACACCCTGTGCTTTCCGAGCTTTCTCCTGGAATTCAAGAGGGAGGGAGGGGAGAGAAGAATAACAAGAAAAGAAAACATATATTATTAGAATATCACTCCACTTCCAATATTAATATAAAAAATATTGTAGTTTCCATTTATTTTCAAGCACTCTTTAAGATAACCACCTATATGATGATCATATAGTGTGATGAGCAAAGAACTTAAAATCTGATCATCAAAAACTAGTGCACGCTAGCAAAGCAATCTATTTGTTCACTTTCCACTTGAGGCATAGAATTAAATCAAATAATAGTGCACAATTTGAAGCCATCTATTTCCACATGTTATAACATGATAAGATGTGGGACTTATTTTCCAGTCAAGCCATCTATATTCATTATGTTTCGTTCAAGGCATGACTCTAATTTCTACGCCTTGAATAAAAGGTGATCAAATACACCGGGATAGCCCAAAATAGGTATAGGACAAATACACCGGGACGGGTGGAGTATTTCAATACTGGAGTATGGAGTGAGGGCATATTGATGAAAAAATAACTGGTCATTCCTATGGATTAAAACAAGAATATCAGTCAGAAACCTCTACAAAACATTGTTGTAGTCCTTCTATGATGTGGAAGCAAATTATGTTACAATAACCCCCAAGTTTGAAACCACGGATGACAATTTGTGAATCTTTTCACACATACAGTGCAGAAAGACAGTAGTTACGTGTGAAAGAATTTCACAGATGGTTGTCATTTGAAGTGTCAAACTTGGGGTTATAGGAGCATTATTGTAGAAACAAATCATGCAATGTCCCATTTAGCCCCGGCTCAATTACCTACTTCCCAAAAGTGAGCAAAATTTGGACGCTTATTTCCCCATGTTCCCACTTCTCACTTTTTGGTCTATGTGGCAAAAAAAATGGCCGAACACACTAGGACGAAGGAAGTAGTATTCTAGTAACCTCAGTGAATTATCAAATTTCAGTATTTAACTTTTTACACCAGCAAGCTCAGCAAAATACTCCCTCCGTCCCATAAAGGTTTGCACAGTTACTATTTCTGCTTCACAGTTTAATCATTTTCTATACATAATTTCATTACTCATTTGATAAAATAATAGTGTTGTCATATCATGTTTTGTAGAACTCTTCAGATACTTTTAAATTATATAAATTTTGTTCTTTAATTTCAACTCAATTTTCATATAAATTGAATTGAAAATAAATTTAGTCAACCATCGTAATCCGCATCGGGAAAACTATTATGGGACAGAGGGATTAGTTGTTTAACGGAAAACTTTTAATGTAGTTCTTAAATATATAATTTTGTTCACTGAATCTAAATTGTGTAAAACTGTAAATACGTTAGAGTCAAGGTTTGTCATCTAAATGAGTAAGTGCCCTACATGTTTAAGGTGGGGTATTAAGTAAAAAATCATTAACTACAGCTAAGGAGGCCAAAACATAAATGCTAAACACGAACAGCAAACCTTAGCTAATCGTTTTGCTTGAAGCCTCTTTTCCCTTTTCTTTTTCCTTTCAATTGTGTGGGTTAACTCCTCCATTTCATTAAGAATTCTTTCATCTTCATCTTCCTTGCTCTCAGGTTCAACAGGCGTGGAAGGGGCAACACTTTTCTCAGATGGAGATAGTGCTTTTCGTATATTCATACGCCATCTACAAGGAAAAGCAAGATTTTAACCTCATCAATCTTACATACAAATTATGCTGGTTTGTAAGATATACTCTTATAAAGCAAAATCCTACCAAGAAAATAAACAAAACAACAAAAATTAGATACATAATAAGATAAGTAATTAGTTCCTTACTTTAAGATATGCTTGAAATCTTGCTTTCCTAAAATACGCAGATCATCACATAGCGCTTTAACCTATAGATCATTACACAATTTTAATGGAAGTTGATGTAAGTTGAGCTGGTCAGACAATGGTTAAGTCTATTGAATCCAATTGGGGACTGAACTCGACGTCATATACATTAAGCATGGTTAAAAGTTTATACCTCCTCTGTTGTAAGAGCATGTTCTCTTATAGACAAACAAGCAGGATCATCAAAGGATATGGAAGTAACTGAACCAAGGATGTCAAGAGGAGCTTCAGACCAAATAAATTCTGCTGCAGAGCCCACCTTCCGCAAAATTGAAACACCATCTTCGTACCTGCAACAGAATCCCTAGTTAGAAACAAACTGATATGTATAAAAATCTGCATTATGTCACTACTAGTTTGAGAGAATAAAAATGCCTTGCATGCAGAAAAACTGCAGTAGATGAAACACCATTAAAAGGAGGTATGTTTCTACATGAACACTTTAAAGTTTAAACCATGTTTGCAATTGTTGAATGTTAAGTCATCAAAGACAAAAATTAACTTTTTTTCATTAACTGAATTACAGTTAACTAAATAGAGATAGAAATTAGGATTCACCCTTCTCGGTTCCTCTTTTGCTTCGTTGCTCTGAGGACATCAATCACCTACATAGAACGAAATACCTCAAATTAAGTGTTTGCAAGCACATGCAAACTTAAAGGAGCAAAGCATAAATAGAGAGAAATTAATAAGAAAATGTGCTTGATGTACCTTTGGGGGTTCTTTGCCTCCTTCAAAGAGGTGTTTAATATCAAAAAGGCGAGGGTCAATCTTTGCGGGGGCCTTGTACTTCAAACCAATAATGTAAATTTCTGCGGATGACGAACGACTGGCTAAAGGTTTGTCAACTTCAACCTTTTCAAAAAGCTACAAAGGAAAGTTACATGTAAGAAGCCATATCATTCCTCTCCAAAAAAAAGTAAAACTCCATTAAAAAGGCAATTAGACCCAACAGAAAGAAACCTGTCGCAAACAGTACAGGACAGCATTGTAGTCTCGAGACCTGAAAACCTGCAGAAACCATGTAACATTTAAGCTTTCTGTGCAACAAGCTTATATTCCAGTCATTTTCATATGGAGCTTTCCAGCATCCAAGTACTATGATGCTGCCAAGTATATTACTCTGTATACAGAGAGCCGTGTTTGACAATATTGGATACCATCAGATCTCGCCTCTAGCTACACTAGAAAGTTGAATGTGGCCAAGTGTCTAATTTCTAGACATATCAGTAACCGCTTTTGTACTAAAAAAACCTCACTCTATCCCATAAAGATGTGCAAAATTTGATTGGTTCTTGTCTTGAGTAAAGTAGAAGTGTGTGGCTGAGATCTATGCAAAGGAGAAAAAACACTATGAACCATATGTTGTTTTCCGTTTATTGAAACATGCACATCTTTTTGGGACAGATGGAGCATCTTATCTAGATGTGTTGGCTGAATTGTTTATTGCATAGAAATGACTGAAACGTGTAGAACCAGAGCGTGTGAAATAAAAAGAAACCCTTCTAATCCATACTCTTTTCTTTTAACTTCTTAAAGAAAAACTCAAACTTTTTGCATTGTCAGACTTATTGAATCAGTTAACCACGCTGCAAATTAAGCTCATTTTTGTCAAATTTTACTTTAATAACAAAAATGGCTCATTATGTTCACAAATACATCAAGGAGAATTCAGATAAAACTCATCCTCACCAACTGTTTGCTCAATAGTACAGATTTTGCTCTAGTAATTCAGAGTGTTTTTTATTAACATGTAAGAAACAGTTAAACTTAATTGCTTAGGTTTAGACACTTGAACACATAAAACTAATCTGGAATTTTTGTAAAAAAATTCAGAACCTTTGTGACAAAAGCCCCCTTTGGAGCCAAGAGTTCGGAGGCGAGCTTAAGGGAATCGATGACCAAAGAATTCTGAACGGTGGCCTCTTTATCCCAAGCGCCACCAACATTGGGGGAACCATCGTGAAGAATCAAATCGAAGGCTCCGCAACCATTCTCGGACATAAGCCTCTTAACGGTGGCTCTGCACTTAGGCGTGGTGATATCCTCCTGGACTGCGATGGCGCCCCGGAGGGGTTGAATGGGGACCAGATCGACGCCGATAACGAGGCTGCCGACGGGGGCTCGCTCTACCGCAACTTGCATCCATCCACCAGGGGCAGCGCAGAGGTCCAGCACGGATCGAGCGGAGTTGAGGAATCCGAACTTGGCATCGAGCTGGATGAGCTTCCATGTGGCTCGAGATCGGTATCCGAGTTCCTTTGAGCGGTGGTACCACGGGTCTTTCCGCTGCTTACCTTTGGCTTTCTTCCCCATGGCTGCTGCTGCTCTCTGATTCTGCAGCTGTTGTAATGAGTTTTAGGTTTTGAGGTTTAGGGTATAGTGTCTTTCCTTTTGTAGCAAGACGAATTCAGACCCTGGCCGGTACAAAGTCTCAAGTACCCCTTTTACGTATCAATACTATATATAAAAAAAAAGAATAAAATGAAATATATATAAAAAACACTTTCTCCCTAAGGAATGAAAAAAAATTTGAAAATATTTAAATAAAAGTCTTAAATATTTTAAGACCAAAGTGAGAATATATTAGTAATGTGAGGTAAGATTACATATTGGCAATGTGATTGAGAGCGGATAACAGTGTAATATGGAAGTTTGACTAGTCAAACGTCGGCGATCTGCAACAACACTCTAGTGGTTGGTGGCGACGGATGGCAGTGTGATAGTGAAGGTGTAGGAGTTGCATTGTGACGATATGGTGAGTCTAACAGTGTAAAAATGGCGATGTGAATTGAACTTCTATTTTCGACTCAAAAGACATATTACTTTGATATTGGTGTTTTCGTAATTTTTACTCTTATCCAAGAAATTTTTCCTAAAATAAAAATCTAAAATTTTTTTACTCCCACCGCCCCAAAATGATTTACCTCATTACTATTATGGTCTGTCCATAAATTTTGTTTCTCTGAATGTGTTCGTTGATCATTTGATAAAATAAAATATTCTTGTAACCTCTTACTTTGTACTCCTTCCGTCCCAAATTAAATTGCATCTTTATTATTCACAAAGTCAAACTTTTTTCACTTTTTTTCATATTCTCATTGGTCATTTGATAAAATAATATAGTAATGTCACCACTAGTTTTGTAGATATTTAGATCTAGTTTTTAACTATGTAATTTCTATTTTTAATTATACACCATTTTTTATATAAGATGATTTGAAAATAACTTCAGTCAAATACCGTAATTCAAAATAGCCAATTTAAATTGAGACGGAGATAGTAGAACTTTTGATGTAGTTTTTAAATATATAATTTTTTATTTTTTATTTCAATACCAGTTTGTAAATAAAATTAATTTAATAATTCATTTTGTGAGAGAGGGAGTATAAATTAAATGTGTTAGAATCCTTTTTATACTAATATATATTATAGTTTTTATAAAATAATTTTATTAGAATCATTTGTACGTGAATATACATTATAGTTTTTATAATAAAAAAGTATTAGAATCATTTTTATACTAATATATACTAATATAGCTTTGAGATTCATTCAGTTTAACTAAGAATGGTCATTGGGTTTTGAAGAAGTATACACCTCCAATTTCAAGATTATTTATTGACTATTATGGAGGAGATGACAAATTCTATGGTGGACTTGAGGTCCACCATGAACCTACATATGATTCAAATAAGCAATTTCTTACTATTTATGATGAATATAACTAATACTCGGCCTGAAAAGTTGCAGGGCATAAAATGACCGGTCAACAATGCAAGCGTTGTTTGGGGTAGCGCACAATTCCTAGAAAGTGATCGGTCAGGTCTCTCTCCAAAAGTGACCGGTCATATTTTCACAAGATCGTACACTTGCAAGGTCGTTGCAGGAGACGATGTGGAGGATTTTAGTTTTTTTATAGTGTGTGAATAATTACGCAATATAAATATATGTTTACTATTTAAAAGCGGGACCCCATGGTTCCTAATTCCTAGATCCACCTCTAAATACCGATCCATTTAAATAAGAACGATTCGTGATAGGTTCCGGTAGTATCACAGACTGCGCCCATCCCGTGGTCAAACACATAATTGGAACCCTTCCAAATAGAATGTTACTCCCTCCGTCCCAAATTATAATGCATGTTCACTATCACAGAGTCAAACTTTTTTACTTTCTTTCTCTATTTTCGTAAGCAATTTGATAGAATAAAGTATCATTATCACTATAAGTTTTGAAGATCTTTTGATGTAGTATTTTAATATGTAATTTTTATTATTTAATTCTATACCATTTGTCATATAAATAATTTGAAAATAATATCGATCAAACATCGTAAACCGAAACAGGCACAATAAATTGGGACAGAGGGATACTAGTTTGAATCCTATTAAGAGTATCAACTCATTGTGCTTCAACATACATTGTAATAACATTAATTGTACTAAAAAGATATGAATGTTTCTAGTTCAATAGTCCATATAATTTTATCAAAATAAAAATTAGAAAAAAAAATGTGTAAATAAAATGAATATAGCAACAATGGGGACTCGGAGAATATAACATACTAGTACCTCCGTCCCAGAATATGTCTATTTTTGACTTTTTCCAATCAACCGTTTTCAACATTTGACCTATAATTAAATAAAATATACTCCGTATGTTGTATATTAATTAGATAAAATAATATTTTAAAAATATTTTATATGATAAATCTAATAAATTTATTTTTGTATCAATATCTAATATCATTTTTATTCAATTTGGAGTCAAAGTTAACCAATTTTGACCAAAAAAAAATCAAAAGTGAATAAATAGTCTGAAATGCACAACCCATTAGTCTTCATCACTTTGGGAATACAAAACACAGTTTGGCATAAAAACACAATTTAAGTGAAACAAAATTTCTTCAAGCCCCTAGGAAGCTAAATATGGACTATGCAGAACTTAGGTATTTGTAGCCCTGGTGTAAATTTGCTGGCTGGCATGTGCAGCCACCATCCTGATCAAACCTCTTTCCATCAATTCCTGGATTGCCCTCCTTGCTAGGGATCCACTGATCTGTTGAAGAGTGAAGACTCATTTTGACAACACAAAGCAATGACAAAAGAAAAGATTGCATATACCAATCTCTAAAGAAAAAAAGCTAACTTTCCAAAGATATCAAAAGTAAATGATATCCTTGAAAAGTTAGATTTTTCTTTAGATCTTGAAAACTAGCAAAAAGACTAATGTCCTCTATGCAATCTTTTGTCTGGTCATTGTTGTGTGCTTAAAATGAATCATCACAGATTCTTTGGTTATGATTATGGTGGAAAGATTGAGGGTGTGCACACTGACTTGTATTTTAATTTCTTGTTTTGTTTCTACCAACAGTTTTGTTGTCTTTTTTCTTGATGGGTCGCTGAAACAAAGTATTTGATCATAAACTTATAATATGAGAACTATTTATCGCAAATGCTCCATATGAATTGAGGTGAACCTCGATGAATCCCGACAAAGTAATTCAACTCACTTTGTTTTGATATTATTTACCTAATTTAAGTAAAATGAAACATTTGCTTCGAGTCAACCTTTTTCACTATGTGTTCTTTATTCCCAAAATCAGGACAATACACCTCAATCCAAACAAGGTGAAAAACAATGCGCCGAGGTGGAACACTAGAGGCTAACATTAGCAAACATATGAAAACAACAAAAGAGAATAGAAAATTAACACATATTTCTCATGTTTGTAAGGCGTAAAAAGAGACAAGGAAAGATTATGGGATTTGACCCAAACCAGAGATATTATAAAGTCTAATCACATACTAAGTTCTAGTTAACAAGAGCAATGTGATACACATTCCGCTAAACGGGAAAACAAGTAATCATTGCAACAAGCCTAGCTTTTATTGATCCATATGTAATTTACACACCATGTGCAAAACCAAAACACATAATTTTTTCCTTTTAAACCAAAGTGGTTTTAGGCACCGAAGAAGGAAAAGGCTCCTCCTGCAGCTTCCAAGCCGGCCAAATCTGGCGGTGGCAAGCAGAAAAAGAAGGTCATTTCTTGTTCTATCTAGTTTTCGGCGTGTCAAGATTCGATTTTTTTAACGAATTTTATTAATTAATGCTAAGTATCAAGAAATGTGGTGTTCTATGAATATGCAGAAGTGGAGCAAGGGGAAGCAGAAGGAGAAGGTGAACAACATGGTGCTTTTTGGCAAGGCTACCTACGATAAGCTAATGTCTGAAGCTCCCAAGTAAAGCCTGCTAAAAAAGAAGGCTTTACTTGGGGGTGCCCTTCAAAAAGAAAAATAATTAGGGGTGCGAATAAAGAAATATGACAAATATACAATAATAATAATTATGTACTCTTTCCGTCATATATCTTTCTTTCCGTTGCGCAAAACGAAGAAAAATCCCAAGTTTTTTTAATCTATTTTATTTAAATATTGATATACAAATAAATATTTAAAAACTACATCAATAGTTCAACAAAACAAGTGGTGACAAGAATATTTTATTTTATCATATAGGCCATGAAAAACACAAATAAATATAAATTCCCGTGAAGTTGGAATAGTACTCTGGGAAGAAAGTTTTAGGACGGAGGGAGAACATTCAAATTTATAATATAAACACTCTCAAACACCTATAGAGATATTTTTTTCCCAAATTTGTTTTTTCACTATTAATTCAATGATTTTTTATTTTTTATTAATGTAATCGTTTGATCAAGGCCAGCCCAAGAGGTGGGCCAAGGAGTCCTACCGGCTTAGACCCATTTCTTTTAGTGTCTAAAACTTTTATTTTTTAATATATATTTAAGGTTTAATCAACTTTATTTTTAATTTAATTTATTTAATTGTAAGTGTAAATTTAAATATAAAAGTTAAATGTTTACAAATTATATAATTTTTTTTGTAAAACTAGAGATGACGTGGTTACATTATACAGAGTATTATGAAATGAGTTGTGGAAATAATCAAATAATAGTTTGACCATGTGAGTAGTGTATAGAGAGAACCAACTTGGATAGAGAGTATGATATATAAGTTTTTAAAAATAAAAAACCTTCATTCTTTTGAATTAGACCTATTATTAATTTTTGTTTTAACAAAATTAGTTGATATGTTCAAAAGCATTATTTATATAATTCCATTCATTATAGCTATAAGCTTATTTTCCCTTTCGGGACGGGCCCATGAATATTCAGGACCGATCCTGGGTTTGATTATTTTAATTGTCATCCCTAAATTATTATTTTGAAGAATCAGTAAATGTAGATTATGTATTGATGTTATTGATGATGTTGTTGTGATTTTTCTTGTTTTTTAATTAGTGTTGTTATTGTTGTTTTTATTATTGTGGTTCTTGTTCCTGTTGTTGATGATTTCAGTGTCCATTTAATGTTGTTGATGCTCTTATTGTTTGTGGTGTTGTCACTAGTTGGGTGATGTTGTTGATGTTATTCTTGTGATTATTGATGTTGTTGTTGATTTTGGTTATGTTGCTGTGATTGATGTTTAATTTTTTTCACTCTTGTTCTTATTGTCTATGATGTTGTTACTACTTGAGTGACGTTGTTGATGTTGTTATTTTTGTTTTTGTTGTTCGTGATGTTTTTACTAGTTCGATGATATTGTTTTGTAATTGTAGGCTCGTTTCATTGCTCTTCGTGATGAAACTAGGAAGAACAACCCAACGTCACCGACGAAGAAATTAAACATACTAGTCACTAGTCTAGGGATGCAATGCGAAGAACCACATGCCAGGAGTCGATGACTACGGGCGTAAGATGAGAAAGTTGAAGTCGTCCACCAATCACTGCTCTAGTTCTTCCAGTAGTAGCAAGACTCATATTGAGAGCCTCAAATAGCAGGACCAACGCTTCTGGGAATAGGTTGACGCCGTAACCTCTAAATTCACAACGATTCAAGAAGGCTTGAAAAAATTATATGGTGGTCACTACCTTCCACGAGACGATTAAGGAACGGGGGGAGTAGGGCAGCCTGGGCTATTAGTTAAAGTGTTTGAATCATCCCAAAAATATAATATTTTTTATACATTACATTACTTTGTGGTTTTTGTTTGACCTTTATATTAAAAAGTTAATTGTCGTTTTTTATAGTATGCGTTGTGTTGTAATTCTCACTCCCGTGTATGGTATGTTGGTTAGAATTGTAGATAACCAAAGAAATACAAACAAAATCCAGAAAATAGGCATTTCTGGTTATGTTCTGGTTTAAACTGTGACAGATCTGCGATAGTTACTCTGTTCGTCGCATATTATTACAGGCCGCCACATAGAAAATTTCACGTCACATATCCGAAGGGCAATCCTGTCGTTGGACCATCACAATTTGCGGGGGTTTACCAATTAAAAAGCCGTCACTAGTCTGTTGCAGATATGTGACATATCAATGCTTTCGTCACAAATTTTAGATTAGCGACAATTTAATTGTGACTGGCGCGATTAAAGAACAAAATCTAATTCTAGTGTCGACAAAATAAGCTTGTCTCCGAATTTTCACTTAGGCTTTGTTTTTTTTTACTTAAAAGAATAAAGTTCGATATTGAAAGATATTGAAAAAAATTAGAAACCACTCGAAAAAATAGAAAAAGATTGAAAGTTTTTTTAAAGCAAAAAAATAAATAAATGAAAATAGTTGGAAAAATATACTCCCTCCGTACTATAATATTCTTTCTCGTTTTTGTTCACGAAGTTTAACCAACTTTATTTTCAATTCAATTTATATGATTGTAGGTGTAAAATTAAAAAATAAAATTTATATATTTAAAACTATATCAAAAGTTCTACAGAACAAGTGATGACAAGAATATATTATTTTATCAAAAACCTAATGTAAATATGTAAAGAATGTGATTAAAGTTTGACCATGTAAAAAGTAACTGAGAAGAACATTTTAGAACGGAGGGAGTAGGAGCTAAAATAAACAGAATGGAATTGGAATCGCTCATTCTTTTCTTATTTTTCTAATATCAATGTTAATCATACAATATTTTTTCAATTTGCATGTAACTAACTCATATCTCAAAATAGTGAGAAAATATAAAAATATTTTTTCAATGTTAATTGAAAGGATTTGATATAAATAATCTAACATTTGCTAAACCAAACAAAATTAATGGCACACCATATTGTACACACTAAATAATAGTAATAGTAGTTGTGATGATGATGATGATAATAATAATTTTAATAATAATAATGGTAATAATAGTAATAATAAGATTATAAGAGTACACATAAATTAATTTTTAAGTCATTGTTGAAATTCATGAAGGAATTGAAAGAAGCTATAAATAATTAAAAAATACTGGAAAGATTTTATAAAAGTGGAGAGGGATTAGATGAAATTATGAAAATATGGAATGGAAAGGAATTGAAAAATATTAAACTAGGTTTGGTTTAAGAAATTTGAAAAGGAAAAAAAAGAAAATGAAGTGAAAAATAGTATTTCTTGTTTGGTTGGAGAGGAAAAATAGAAGGAAAAGAAAATGAGAAAACAAATGTACTAAGTTGAAGGAAAACCAAATTCCTCTCATTTTGGAGAAAATGAGAAAATCATTTTCTTTTTTCTTTTCCTTCCAAATTCCTTGAACCAAACATAGTGTAAAAGTTAATACTTAGAACCTTAAAAAAAACAAATTGGCATCCCATTTTTAAAATGTACCCCATCAATAGGTTCATGTAAAGAACTATTTTGAGTATCAGTCTCAATTCTCTAACATAGGGCCTACTCCCGTTGCACAATAGTTGCAAACACTTTCTTCTAAGAAGTGAACCAATCTATCTGTGTTCAGTACATATTTTTAATCAATTTTTTTCGTTTTTGCAAGTGTATAGATTTGGCATGAACGAGAGATACGTGTGGTTTACAAGAATCCTCTCTTTATGTTGAGAAAAATGTCAACCAAACTGTGCTCACAAGATGGAAGCTTCGCGGCCGGGCATCTTAAATGCAGAACTTCTTTTTCTGCACATGTAAAAGCAAGAGAAAAAGAAGAAGAATTATGAAACAATCCCATGTTCATGTTGGAACAAGTAATCTTAACAGAAAGAGAGAGAACGAGCAAAGCTAACGTACGCGGATCTTGGCTTCTTCTTGTCTGTCAATGTAAGCAAGAAGTTCTTCCTGCCTCATCAATGCTTCATACAAAGCCTGCTCATACGAAGAACGATTTTGAATAAAAGAAGTAAATTTACATCATATTAATGTCTCTTTACAAAAAAGTGTCCCAAAAGAGGGCTTTTTTTCATGGGAACTAGGGACTAATTCATACCGCAAATGTGAATAAACAAAAATTTACCTTCTTGGTTGCAATTAACTCGGCTTCTAGTGCATCCACCCGGCAGACAGCAGCATTCAACAACTCCTCTTTTTCGTACGGCATCTCAGACGGCTTTTCTTGAAGTGTGTTGACTCTTACTTCAAGTTCCCCTAGCCTCTCCAGTACAGTGGAGAGCAGTTCTGTTTCTGTTGGTGCTGATGGAATTGCCAAAGAAGGTGACTGAAACTCTTCCTTTGGCATTGCATGAGAGGCATCGGATTGGTGGTTTAGGACAGAGGAATCATCCGGAAGTTTTTTGGTCATACGAAATGCAAATGAACGCATGAGCACGAAGAGAGTTGTGAGGTAAGCCATAATAGCAACTAAAACCTGAGCAAAAAGGCCCTTGGGTGTCTTTTGAGTGTCTGGTAGTGGAAGCATCCCTGAGTTGAGATAAATTACCATAATTATTTACTGTTTACAGACTCATTTCACTGAGTTTTTTTCCCAGTAGCCAAAAAAAATAAGCTGACCTTTAGGAGTGCATGGTTTTTGAAAAGGTTCTGGTTTCTTCCATCCAGAATCAACAGCTTTGTCAACCATAGGAACACATTCATCATATGCTAACAATTTGTTAGGATGGCTAATTGGTCCAATGTTTTTCGCCTGTTTCTAAACACAAGTACAACGAAAGACAATTAAGAAACACAATGGGTATATAATAATAAACTTTAAAGCAAAAAAAAAAGGATAGGGTAAATTAAAACCTCTTCGCGAACAGGAGTTAGCCGAAGATGTGAATAATTCCTGATAGCTTTTGGGGAAGAAATTTCTTCAGCTTCAGATCCCGATTCAGCAGTGGATGTATCATAAAATTTTACCTGGTGAGGAAAAGGTAAATGATAAACACACTTTAGATCTAACAAGAATTGTGAAGTGTGAAGCACCATGATAAATACAGGGATAATATAGACGCCATACCATTGGGTAGCGAGGTTTGGCGTAAACAACTTTTCCTTCACTGTTTAAAACTTTAACAATCTGTTTGCAACGACGTGCTTCACCAACCATCTGTATTAAAAGCACAATTATTTAGTTCGCGTTGCTATAAAAGTATGAAGGAAGGATGAAGAGAGCGTTCAACACAAACATTTCAAACCTTCAGTATGTGTGGGTTCTTCCATGGCCCTTTATCAGAACGAAGGCACCCTCCTTCATCTGCACATGTACAGGCCCCACCCAAAAACTCCGGCAGCTCACTGCACAACGGTTAGAACGAATACAATCTCCAGTGAGAAGACAATAACATCTTCACTGGAAAAAAAACCAATACAAGCTAGATTTCAGGGAGAAAAGGACTGATCAGACTCACCTAGCATCTATTAACTCAAGCAGCTTGTTCTGGTATTTGTTTCCAAGAACCTGTAAAGGAGGAACAGTGCATCATCATGACATGTCATAATACATCATGCCTTTCTATACAGCCTTCATACAATAGATTAAACGAGATGAAATATCATAACCATATTCATTAGTTTTCCTCGCATACATGAAAAACATCATGAAACCCACGATGATACATACATGAATCTTGGAAGTTGTCTTAGGATCCAGAAAACCCTTTATAGTATTCCATAGCATCCTAAATCCAGGACCAGCATTTATGATGAACATTTGATGGAGTGTCTGCCAGCAACACAAAATAATAATAATAATATTATGATGTCAAACTTAGAGCATGGTATTACTAGCCAAATGAGGAATAGGGGCATACTTCAGGATAATTATCTCCGTCAATCTTCTGAAGACGCAAGATGAGTTCTCTTGCATTCTTGTTAAAGTTTTTAAACCCCTATAAAAATAGCAAGCATAAACATTGTTGTTGTAGTTGTCCGGGGGGGG